GTTTCAATGTAAACATATGGGTATGTATATATATGGGTTATCTATTAATCTTTAATTAATCAATTTTTTTTGGATGATCATATATATATACATGTGTTATATTTTTGTTAATGATTTGATTTACAATAATAATTATTACTGAGAAGTACCCATATATGTAATGAGGTTGAGGAATTGTCAGTAAACTAAACGGGTCCAGTTCTTTTGCCATTTTTGAATATTTCTTGATTATGATTAACAGTATTGAATATGTGTGATTAAATTAATTGCTATTGAAGTGTTTAATGGAGATATTGTAACTTGAAAATTTTGATTGATGGTTACATTGTAAATTTGAATTGACGTTTGTTTTATGATTCTGACGTTTGGGATTATTAATATTTAGATTTATTAAATATAATTAAATTCTTTATATTATATTTAAATAATAATGTTATGTCGTTACATATAATAATATGGGTATGAATATAATATAATATGAATATGTAACATGAATATGATGAACATGAAGGGAGGGATACGGATATATATATATATATATATTACAAATGTATTCTGAGTGGATAATAGATATTAATTTGGAAATATGAACAAACAACACTCTTTTTGCACTAATTTATTAAATAATAATTTTCACAAACGTTTCGAGACTAGGTTTGTCTCATCATCAGTGTGTTATAATTAAAAAAATTTAAAATATGGAAATCTAAATTAGCATGTTGTGTTTTTCATTACACGTCGTTCACTGCACGTTGTTCTTTTAATACCAATGTCTTCGGTATTCGTATTCTCTCCTACTTGAAACCACTTGAAATTGTAAAGTCACTCAATCAGATAGGAAAAAAAAAAAGGATTAGGGTCCAGTTGAAAAATAGATGTCGTTAGGAGAAAAAATATTCTATGATGAGATGGTTTGTTTATAAGATTTGTTATACATTGTTGTAATTAAAAGTGTATGTACATCTATATATATAGATGTAACCTAGTCTCGAAACGTTTGTGAAAATTATTATTTAATAAATTAGTGCAAAAAGAGTGTTGTTTGTTCATATTTCCAAATTAATATATATATATATATATATATATATATATATATATATATACATTATATAAGGATATCAAATGTAATATATACAATTGATAAGTTTACTAATATCTGTTGAAAAATTAACCATCATCTAAAATATAATCAATTGAGATTCCCAATGCTGCTTAAACTTTTAAAACAATCTATTATGTTATATATTTGCAATGTTTAAATCGGTATTTGTAACGAATTAGCAGAATTATAAACTGTTTATTGAACACATTATATAGTATTAGGACTAAATTATGAATGACTGAATTATTTTCATCTAATTTGTTAAAGAAAATGGTTTGCTTCAATATATTGCTATTTGACTCTCCAGTATTGTTTTTCTATCTGGATATTTTTTATTTTTATGTAATAGCAAACGTTTTAATACATAAACTATCTGTAAGAAGGTAAAATGCAGCAGAGCGTTACCTATTTTAAACGACATAAGGCACGCGCCGTTTTTTAACATTTGCATAACGGAAATACTTTGCAACCAGCAGGAAATAAATTTTATGAATCCAGTGATGTATTAAAATGGTGATCAATTATAAGCAACTCATATAATATTAAATTAATCATAAATAGTAATAAGCAGAAACCATATTATTGCCTGGTAAAAATTAGAAATATTTTTGGATATTTATAATTTCATTAACGTTTTTTTAATTTCTGTTTTACATAAGAAATTCACTGCAAAACTATATTAGTGAATTAATTTAATACTGAATATCAAGAACAAATCTATTTATTTATCTATCTAATTATCTATCTTAACTATTTTAAATACGTCCTAAATGAGAATGTTACAGCATATTAACTTTTTAAATCAGATTTTAATTTTTTATGTAAAAGTTAAATTAAAACCAAAGTTCATATTCGCAGTGTAAGGGTAGCTATTAATGATAAAGAATATATTTTTATTTAAGGAAAAATCTACAATATTTTTCAACGAATTCGTATAAAATGTTTAAACTTTTCTGCTACCACGAACGGAAAAACTTAATTAGAAAATAATATATTTATACAAGCAGGATTGAAATTCAGAAGTTGCGGATTGGTGCAATAAAGGGTCAAATTATATAAACATAATGCATTTTTTATACTCATATTTTTAGCAATCAAAACTTTACATTCTTCGAACTGTTGAGGTAAAACTTCTCCTTACATTGTATTTTTTAGAAGGCCGATATATCCATATTCAATAATTTTGTTATTATTAGAATTTATCCAATAAGGCTGATATATTCAATTTGATGCAGCATTACCCGGGAAAGGTTACATTCACTTTAAAACATATTAAAGATCTATATTTCCAAGTAAAATTTGAAATCGCTACTATCGCTATTTAGTATGCATATTTTTTCGATTCGGCCAAAAAAATCATTGATAATTCATTGATAACTGTATGCTAATGGTATGCTAATGGTATTTTCCAAATGCTATGTGTGATACATATATTTCTAAACGATTATTGATGTAATAATTTATAATTATTAATAATAATTAAATCCAACTTATAATTATTAAGTAATAATTAAACTTATAATTATTATAATAATTAAATACAAGAATAACTATTCTATTAAAACAACTTTGTACGAATTTATATTTTATTCCAAAATATGTAACAGGGTAGTTAATCCACAAGAATGGAACGCCTTAAGGGCCGTCCAGTAATCACGTCAATATTTAAGGTTTTTGGACCCCCATTCCTTTTGTTATTTAACATTGCTTGTATTTTTAATACCTTAAAAAATCGCAAAAAATTTGGTTGTTTATTAACTTTCGAATAAAAATATATGAATTCTTCTTCCCTCTCGGGATATTTCTTGATCTTAAGCCTCTCTTGAAGATATATAATGCTTGCAAAATGAATAGCTAAGTATATTGAAATTAAAAGTTTGCTATTTATCGTTTAAGTTTACTTTGTGCAAATTATTTCAGAATCCATTTTATCTTAAAAAGGAAAAACAGGAGTCGTTGCTTCTACGCTTTGCCAAATAAACCATTCATATTATGTTTTCTGCTGTTGTCTTGTAATCTCCTAATGATCAATGGAAACGAAATAGAGTTAGATCAAAAATTTATAAAAATGATTAGTTCATTATCCAAGCCATTATTCTTTCACATATTGAAAAGTTCCACCACTGATAATTTAGGATCATTGCACTTCACATTCTAGTAGTTAATACACCTCATATAGAGCATCGTTGAGTTTTGCGACTGTGACTTATGTACCGTAACCGTTCGCGAACCGTAAAGTTTATCGCGGGAAATCATCGGTACCAGCAGACTAAACACATTGCACCGCACCTGGACGGCCAAAGGCAAATCAGGCACTGAACTCGAACACATTTTTACCCCGAGTACTATTTCTGGCTGAAACCGAATCCCTATGCATAAAGGAAAAATAAGTAAATGTATCTTGGAATACCTACTACATTTTGCACTTAATTTCATTTTTCAAAAAAAGTTGAATGAAGCGATTTACGAAGAAAACGATTAATAGACATGAATATTTGGTTATTAAATACATCTATTATTCACTAGGGCTTGTTCGTGGCTAGGGCGACGGGACCTGGACCTGGACCTGCACCTGGACCTGAACCGGGTTTGATCCCAATCCCAATCCTGATGCCAACCAATGGTGACAACCGTTTTTACTTGGAAATATGGACCTGAACTTGGACCTGCGCCTGGACCTGAACCGGATTTGATTCCACTTCGAGAATCCTGATGTCAACCAGAGGTGACATCCGTTTTTACTTGGAAATATAGACCTGGACCTGGACCTGCACCTAGACCTGAACCGGGTTTGATCCCACTTCGAGAATCCTGATTTCAACCAATGGTGACATCCGTTTTTACTTGGAAATATGGACCTGGACCTGGACCTGCGCCTAGACCTGAACCGGGTTTGATTCCACTTCGAGAATCCTGATTTCAACGAATGGTGACATCCTTTTTTACTTGGAATTATGGATAGCAATATGTTTTCAAATGAAAATAGCACTCACTCAGCATTGCAGCATCGATAAAATATTGGTCCTATTACAGAATTTGTAATAATAAAATCTATCACACAGAGAAGAGACAACTGTTTGGATTGCCATCTGTAAAACTGACGGAGTATTAAGTCTAATTAGCCCAATAGCTTATATGACTTATAAATTCTGATTGCTGTTCAAAAACAATAAAAAAAATCTTTTATTCCACAATATTTCATTAATAAATATTTTTGTGCTCCTTCTTTGTACTTTCTAATTAATTTGAGATGTCGAATCGATAGATTGAACTCGTTTATAAATATCAATTTAGCAGTCAATTACTGAACTTAACAATTTTGTATAATTAGCGTTCTATATATAAATGCAATGATTAAAATTAAAAAACGCTTTTCAAAACAATACAAACTTAGAACATTTATATCTTATATATTTTCTCGTATTTCTCATATGATTAAAATATTCGAAAACGACTTATTTGTACTTAATATTACTTTCGTTTTCTTTGTTTTGTTGTTTAAGAGTCTGTAGATATTATTACTCGAATTAAAGTTTATATACTACTTAAAGTGTTCTGAAAAATATGGAACAATGAGATTTAACAACTTCGAAAATTACTTCTCATTTCTCAATTTTAGTATTTATTGTTGTAGTAACAGAAACTAGTAGGAATAGCTTATTCACGTTATAAGATAATATCAGTGCAAATAATTGAAAAAAATAGACAAGAAGATTTTCATTACATTTACAAAAACTTTGTTGCTATCTTCAGAATAAACTTTTTTCATTAATCTAATGAATATAATACGTTATGAAACTATTATTTTTACATTAAGAACTAAAATATTTTTAGTATAGGCTTATAAACAAATCATATTATGGTTAGAATAAAATATTCTGAACAATTCTTTCTTGTATCAATTTCTACTTTGCAATGATAATTGAATTCCATTCTGGGCTCTAAGAATTGGATTTGCTGCCTGGAAAGCAATTGGTTTCTTGGTCTCCTTGCACAGGATGACTTCAAAATCTTTAAGAATGGATATCAATCCAATTTTTGCTTGTAATTTAGCAAAGCGTTGTCCTATAAAGATAAAATAGATATATATATATATATATATATATATATATATATATATATATATATATTGTTATAATTCTATATATTATCGTATTTTTTATTTACCAATGCACATTCTCGGTCCTTCTCCAAACGGCATGTAACTAAACTGTTTCCTGGATTCCTTATTTTCTCTTGTAAATCGGTCAGGGTCGAATTTCTCAGGCTCTGGATAATATTTTGGATCATGGTGCAATGCATATACGGGAATTACTACCAAATCATCTTTTTCTATAATCACGTTTGTTTCCGGTAAGGTATATTTAGACTCACATTTTCTAATCAAGGACCCTGATGGAGGATATTTTCTCAAAGTTTCTGCCAAAACTTGATCTAGATACTCCATTTCCATTATTGCGTCGTAACTCAGTTTTCCATCGTTCTCACAGAGAGTTCTGTCAATTTCTTTCTGTAGACGATTTTGTATGTGCACGTTCAAAGCTAATTCATATAAGCAGAAACTCATGGCCGATGAAGTCGTTTCGAAACCGGCAGCAAAAAATATAAACATTTGTGCAGCCAGTAAATTGTCGTCCATTATAGAGCTTAATTTAGAACCAGAAGTCAGATCTGGTTTAATTTGCCCACGGAGATCTATAAGTATTTGTAAGAAATCACCTCTTTGTATATCATTTTGTTTTCTGTATTTTACTAAATCCTTGACAACTGATACGAAAAATTGTTCAACTTCAGGATCCATTGATCTCATATGAAGTTTGGCAAATAACCACGGAGACATTGTTCCAATGCTTCTTTGAATTAGATGGTAAAAGCTGCGTTGAAATACTTTATCTATCATCTCCCTGAATTTTGATTTGGAGTTATTGATTGCATCCACATTTATACCAAAAATACAGGAACCAATAACTTGGGTAGTTAAATTGCTGCAAAGATCTTGGATATCAATTTGCAAATCATGTGCAACTATTTTTTTAACATACTGGTTAAATTCGTAACTGAATTCTGTCAATGTAGACAACAT